CTCACTGATAAGAAACTTTTGTTGCCTATATACATATTCATCTGATTTAGAGGTTCTATTTTGTATTTTTTCTCATATGTACAAATAATGGATTCATTGTAATGCTAGGAGAGACACTGACACAATTCTAAACAATATTATAATGTACAGTTACCAAGTAAAAAATAATTATGTGATGCAAGAGGAAAAAAAACTTTAGAAACATTCAGCTAAAAAGCATTTCACAAAAGCAAAATGTCTATTAAGCTCTAAATTTTTTGGTCATATTACAAACATTCATTTACAATTTTTAGAGCAATTATTTAAAATATAGAAAAAAGTAATGTAAACTCTCTTCACTTTATCACAGATTAAAAAAAAACTGCCACACATGGAACATAAGAAAAGGTTATCAGACACTCCCAAGGCAGATGAGCAACTTTAGTTGTCTTTATTTACTTAAATTTCATTTAAATTATTCACAGATGAGAGAACCAAACCAAACATTTTACTCATTAAAAATGTCTTAATTACAATGAATATTTTACATTTTTGAAAAAAAAAAAAAAACCCCAAAAAAACGACATGGTGCATGATTTTGAACAAACTTTTAACAATTTATGTCTTGACTGCTCTATGTGTGTGTGAAAAACAAACCAGGGCAAAAGTTACCCAAAAACATTTTTAATGATTAAGCTTTAATATTTCTGTGTTCCATTTGGACTTTGGACCCAATATACTCTATTGTTTGATAGGTAAATGTATAATTATCATTGTGCATTAGAACAAAATAAAAAAAGAGCTTGTTATTCCAATACTGATTTAAACATAAGAACCATTGAATATGTCTTAAGTAAAATTATCAAAGCAGTAGCAAAATAAATGCCCTCCCTATTAATTTATTTAAGTATTTTAGCTATTCAATTCTTTGCTAGTCAAATTAAACTAAGAATTCAGAATAAAGCAGCATTCCACACATCAGGGATTGTCTTTCATAAATTATGCCATAACTAAATAGGTTACCTTTAAAACTGTTATGTGGCAGAGTGTCTGTCTCTAGGCTTTCTGCCATCATTGCTTTTTAACTTTTGCACACTACCAGGTAATAGTAGTAGTACTCTTGTTTTGAGATACTGAGATTTTTATTATTAAACATTTATTAGATTTAACTAGTTTTATCACTTTATTGTGCACAGCTTAAAGTACTGACTAATTTTTTGTTTTATTTTTAATCTTTGTTGTTTTTTTTTAATCAACATTTTATCATCTGTAGATAATATAAAATAAACCTAATAATGCACACAAAATACCTCTCAAGCTTTTTTTTTTTTTTTTAAATCATTTCAGGTCAGGCAAGGTGATAGCACCAATTAGAAGTGAAAGACAAGGAACATGGAAACCCAATAATAATATAAATTTCAGAGTTTAAATAAAGATGTTAGAATAATAGAGTTAGACTTAGAAGGAACCAGAAACCCAATCCTAAACAGGAAACAAGGGGTAAACCTCTACTCCTGTTCAAAAGACTGTTCAAAATGTGCAAACCACTCTACACTTATTGTAGAAAAAAAATAAATAGTAAAAATTTCATAGTTTAGACAGAGAGATTAGAATTATAGGGTTGAAGTAGGATTCTGAAGGAACTGGAAACCCAATTCTAAACAGGAAACAAAACAAACCTCTACTCCTGTTCAAAAGACCAGAGAAGAGCATGAACCAGGTAGTCCTTCAATTATGATGAGTTAGGTCTGCATTCATGTTACTACTTAAAATTTTCCATTTTTTTCACTTTCTGCTCTCTTCACCCAACCCCAACTCTCCATTATATAATAGTAATAAAAATTAAGGTAAATAAAATCAGAACAGAAGCAATGCGATTATATATGTAGGATTGTCTCAAGTACATGTATTTCAGCAGGGGTGCAATAAGGGACAGTCAGTAGATTATATTCTATTAAGTTTTTAACTTAATATAAGTTGTGATATCTCCTATCAAGGTAAAAATCAAGTGAAAGATTAACTGCTCTAATTACCATTTTTTTTTTTTTTACAACTAGTTCCAAATATTTCTTCTCTCTCCATATAAGACTGCTAAGTTAAAATAATCTTTTGTTTGATAGCCAATATCTTAACTTATGATGGTGGAAAATATACATTCAAATAATTCACCATTCAGTTTTAATTTTGGATAGCGACTGTATATGCTAGCAAAAAATGGTCACAAGCCAAAATATACACTTACACATTCAAAAATAAGTACTTAAATAAAATTAGGTATGGAAAAAATGCCACGAAATACAAAATAAAGAAACATTTTTTAAATAAAATTAAAATAAGAAAACAAATGTAACAAAACGTCCTTGTTTCTCTTCTATTGAAACTGTCCAGATTACTCATCTTTTTCTTCAATGTGTCACTCTTATAAAACTTATGAACCGAAAGAGAAAATGAAAAAAAGAAATGGTAAGTTCCAGTTGAGCTGCATCTTTATTATACAAATTTATTTGAACTGTGGTCCTCATCTTAGTCATAATCTATTGGTCATTGTACAGGCCTTCTTCTATTGCAAATAATGTTAAAGTCAAAGCACTAGAAATGTTAAGAAAATCAATAGATGAAATGTTGAAGGTTATAGAATGTTTGAGTATAATAAAATAATAAAACATTAATTTATTCAGATATATTCAATATTGTGTTAATCAAATGTGTTTCTATGGCCTATATCTTTGGGATTTATTCATAAATAAAATTATTTTTTAATAAGTATAGAGATTACAAGCTGAAAATAACATGATAGATTGTTCATATAAAAGATATTTTACCAATATCAATTGGTTAATACCAATTTTATTGTGTAAACATCAATAACACCTGACAGTGCAGTCTTGAAAAAATGTTTTCATATTAACATAAGATTTAAGCAATTAACAAATCAATGAACATAGACCTAAAAGTTGTAAAATCAATTAAATTTTACAATTTGTTTCAGAATATGTTGAGCTTGAAAACATTTACCATCTAATTTATATAAACCCCCTTCTTTGCATCCAAGACACCTGATTTCATCAAGGCATTGCACAGCTGGAGGCATGTTGCATAAGGTTCTGGATGCTGAAGGGATTACTTAGCTTGAGGACTAGCAGTAAGTCAAATTTGCTGCAAATCATTTTTTTTTTTCTAATAAATAAAAAAAAAAATGGCAAGGAAATTTTTTTTTTTTTTGCTTACTGTGTGTATTATATATATATATATATATATATATATATATATATATATATATATATAAAATGAAATGGATTAAATTTGACAATTATTTAATATATTTTCTGTTTATCTGTCTATATCTCCAAGATGAGGCATTATGATTATTTACATTATTTGGACTTATCCTCATCTTCATTGCCATATTCACAATGTTTCAGCCATTGTACACTCCGGCCTTCTTCAGGTGATTGTTCTAGTTCCACATGCCATGCCTCTTCCAGATATCTTAGTTATTTCCCTTTAACTCAACTCTCTAAGTTTGGTTCACCACTGCTGTTGCCTGGTATTGAACTCACAACTGAATCATCTGGAAGAGGCATGGCACGTGGAACTAGAACAATCTACCCTGGTGGACGAAATAAAGGGTTTGAATAACAGTCCAAATAATGTAAGTAATATTTTATGTTTATAAGTTATTTTTATAGATTTACTTAAATAAATTGTATCTATAAAAATAACGTATAAACAGAAGTGTGTGTGCATATATATATATGTGTGTGTGTGTGTGTGAGTAATATTTTTCTTTGTATTATCAAAGAATCTTCTTTATATTAACAAAAGGACAATTATTTTTAATTTAGGAAACTGATTTTATTGGAAGATTGCTCTGCTATTGATTCTAACAAACATTGTATACTATCTAAGCAAGTTATAAAATAAGATTTTCTCAAGATAATTCATTTATGAGTCATTTATCAAGAAGTTTATAAGCTTCAAAACTTCTAATACTTACATGCATTATGTACTATGAAAATAAATACCTTTTGATAATCTACTTAATTTTGATAGATTTCCATAAAGTAAAAGATGGATTCAAACAAAATAAATGCATCTTTGGCTTATGAATTGTAACAAATACAGTGAACACAACATAAGGAAAATAATTCAAATATGATGCAATTCTGATAAGCATAACACTTTTCTGAAATTTATGATTCAGAGCAATTAAGTTCCCTAACACAGAAAGGCATACAATCCATGTTACAGACACAGATTTGTTATGCCACACATCAATAACAATAAGTAAAAATTAATTTGCACAAACCTTTTTGAACAGATTAAGACAATTATGACATCAAGGGAAAGAAATTGAGATATCAGAAAAAACATCAATTTAAAAAATGATAGAATATGATTTTATAACAAGTGTGTTTTTTTTCAAACTTCTTTTCAGAGTGAAAAAAATATTTAAGCACAAAAAAGATGTTAATGTAACATGTTTTACTGCTGGTTATTTTATAGCAGGAGAAATAATAGTAAATATAAGTAAAATTTAAGCCACTTGGTAGGTCATTACTGAACAAATTCAATAATCACTTTAATTTATGAGATATCTTAATGTAAAATGTCAGTTTGAAATCCTTATGTAAAAGGACAATGTCCAATTTCTTTTCCAACTACACAGCAGGTATTATTATAACTTAATTTTATAAGTATTAAGACATTAATAAATGTATAAATAGAAATTATATGACATCCAAATAATAGAAGTGAAATCTACAGGTTCATGTAATCTATTATCATCACCATGTGATATGTTGCTAAAATTCTGAGTAACCTAAACTTGTTTGTAGATAATTTGGGTAACTTATCTACAAACAGGTTGCTTTTAATCTTTAAAAGATCAGAACAAAGAAAGTAATAATTATTTAAAAAAGATACCTATATACCAATAAAAAAATGGTGATTTTTAATTATTTTCATTTCAGCTGTACATTTTTCATTTTCCTGATATTAGTAATCATAAGGTAGCTTACCAGGACCAGATACAGCATATACATAGCCGTACAGAATTTCCTTTTCGTTGTCTCGAACTTTTGGTAATCTGTCCATGATTTATGCTCTCTGGGGAAAAAAATATTAAAAATATACAAACAGTAATAATTAAAAGTTTAATTAAAGGTTAAACAGCATGACATATGAGGTAAAATAAAAAAAAAAATAGCAAAAAACAATGTAATGAATTGTTACACAAATCTTACAGATTTTAAAAAAGACTAACAGAAAACATCTTTAGCTTTTCCAAATTGTGTAACGAATCCCAACTTCTAGTTGGTAACTAGGATAGAGCATAAGAACTGTAAGTTTTCAAGACATTAATCAGCTAAGCCTGCAGAAAAATATTTGAACATGTTATCAACTTCTGAGAAGTTTAGAAACTAGTTAAGAAAAAGTTAATGTAGAATTCTTTGATTTCCTATTAGGAGCAACAAAATACATGAAAAACAATTTCAATGATTTGATAATCTTGAAATTTTTATCATTCAACTGAAATGCTTAATTTTTTTAAGACTATCAACCAAATAATTTTGTAAGAAATAAAGCAATTAAAAAAAAAAAAAATGTGAATTTTTAATATACATTGTATATATTAGGGAATGATCATTTACCTTGTAAATAAGCAGATAAAACTGTAAATTAAAATATGTCTTTTTTATAGGCAGCTATTTTAACAGATACTGAATTAATTTTTAAAGCTATTGTATGTGATAGTAGTGCCATTAGGAAGAAACTTTAATAGCATGACTCCATTCCGATTCTATTACTTTCCTTACTGAGTAAACTACTTTTTTATTAATATTTCTTTGCTCTCAGAGTTTTACAATGAGTTTTCTATCAGCTATAATAAGAGCATCAATCTATTTGACCTTATTCCCATTCAACTCTCTAGGATTACCATTAACTCTATTGAACCATCTCCTTATTATGCTTAGATAAAGTGCAGCCTTTCCATAAACACTGACTAACCTCGTGTGAATGTTTCCATCATATTTTTCTTCCAAACAAGTTTTATAACTGCTTCTTACATGTCCAGAGGGATAGCTATTTTGAAAGAGAAGGTAACTCCACATTTTTCCCCTCCATCAGATTCTAGACACTTTATAATTAGCAAAAAAAAAAAAAAAAAAAAGAAAGAATCCTATTTTTAAAATTAACCCCCATAACTACTGTCAAATGTTTCCAGCATTGAGGATGAAATGTGAGTAGTGAAGAAGTATGTTTTTTAACATATTTCTCTTATCAATAAACACATCAAATTTGCTTTATTAAAGCACCAACTTTTATAAAATCCATACTTAAAGAATCTAAGATCTGTCTACTTATAACCACTACCAGTGTAACCTAAATTCTCTCACAAAACATCCCCAAATCAACACTACTAGGCATAAATAAAAATGTCCACTAGACACACACATTAACCAAATTTCACAGACTAACTAGAATTATGATACAAAAACACAAAGAATTATACACACAAATGCTACTTGACAAGACAAATACCTGTGAGGTGTATTTAACCAATGAAATGCAAAATTAAAAATGACAATTTTCTTTTCTCCTACATATTTCATTTTTTTGATGAAACTTAAATAAAAGTGAAACATGTTAAATTTATAAACATTTCTTACTTGTTTTTATATATATATATATATAATCAATTGGTATATAATCCAAGTGAATCCTAATAATATAAAATATTAAAACTGATCCACAAAGAAAGTTCAATGTATTTATTCTAACAGAGCATAGAAATGACATACAATAGGAATTAAAATTACCTCATAGTTATGATCATTTCACCATAAGTTAAGATTAACTTGTAAGGATTTTTAAACCGATCAAGGTAATAAGATAAAATAAAATGAAACTGGGCCTAAAGCAAATTTTAACAAGGCAGAGGAATAGAAGAGAAGAAACAAAAAGAAATAGTGTGAAAAGACAAAATAGGAAGAAGAAGAAAGGGAAAAAAAAGTAAAGAGTAGTAACATCTAGACATGAGTATAGTGGCAGGGGACAGATACATGTAGATGTGATCTTGATTTATATTGGAATATTCAACTCAGAAAGTAGACATAGCAAATTAGGGAAAAATTTTTATTTTATATTAACAAATATTGTTTTAATTTTTTACTTTTTAGGAAATGTATTATTTATATTATTCATTTTATATTAAAAAAAACAATTGAAGAGTAAATGAAAAACGTCTGCACTTAAAATTACAAAGATTATGCATATAAAGCAGTACATATAAAATGATAGAAAAAAATATATTATAATTGAGTTATTAAATAAAAAGAAACATAAAATGTAATTTAATAAGTATAAGCTGATAATTAAATAAAAGAAACAATATAAAGAAAAATGAAATATAATAATTATTATATGAATTAACATTATATTAATCATTATTAAATGTTATATTAATACTATATAAAATATACCTCATTAATAACATTAAATGATATATCATTATATTAAACATTATATATTAATATATCAACATAAATGCACCACATATATTAAATATTATATTATGAAACATATCAATCCATTATTAAATAGTACTATTAAATAAAATTACTATATTAAATAATACCATTATTAAATATTATTAAATCATTAAATAATATTATACAAATTATTATTAAAAAATATATAATCATTATACTATATTATATATAATACTATTATTAAATATATAGAAACAATATATAAGAGAAAGAGATATAATTATTAATTATAAATAAAAACATTAAAATTTCCCTAACGCTCTGTTGTGTGATGATAGCTTGGGGGGTAGAATCATTAACTGATGCCAATTCGGTTGGGTTTCGATCCCGGCTTGAAGCAATCTACTATGCTTTCTTTAACTTTTTTCCCTTTCTTCCTCTTCCTATTTTGTCTTTTCACGATTTCTTTTTTTTCTGTTTTTCTTCACTCCTTTTCCTCTGCCTTGTTAAAATTTGCTTTAGGCCTGGTTTCATTTTATCGGTCTGAAAATCTTTACAAGTTAATCTTAACTTGTTATGATGAAATGATCATAAGTATGAGATAATTTTAATTCCTATTGTATGTAATCTATTACATACAATATATGTGTGTGGATATAATAGGTTGATGAAAGAAATTTGAGTGATAAAAAAAAAAAAAGTAATAATATTAAGACTAAGTCGGCAAGTCTGAAAATTAAGATTTTTAAAATTTTTCTCATCAAGTCAAAATGCTTAATATACAATAAATATTATTGGTCTTATTATCAATATTATTTTTATCTATTTACTTTCACTGGCCTATTATATCTACATATCATAAGAAGCATATGTGGACAATCTCTCTTTACTGCCATATATATTTAAATTTGTGTATTTAGGCAACAAATTCTATTTTAGGCATGTCTGATTAAATATATTACAGATATTATGTCTGCTAATTTTTAACAAAATCCATTCATACTCACGAATAACCTTAAGAAATGTGCTATAACTGTTTAAATAACTTATTTCTCATTTCCCAAGTACTTTTGATCTTCTTCCAAGATCATCTTCAGGGGTGCAAGTAGTACAAAACTGTGTGTTGATCAGGGGTACAAGTAGTTATACAAAGCTGTGTGTTGTTATCCATTTTTTTTCTGAGTTTTCTAAATGAATTTGATTATTTAATAAATCATCAAAAATTATCTAAAGAGTTTTAATTTGTTTGAATAAAATATTTTCCACTGATATCAAATGACCTCCACAAATATTTATAAAGCAAATATTTGTCTAACTTTATAAAATATTATATTTTTAGAACATTTTTACATAAATTATTTTAGTAAGTAAACAACTTTCAAATTCATAGGTGTCTTTGGTTGAGATATAAAAACAGAATGAACCGTAGAGACATCGTAGGAAAAATGATTTAATTATCATGTATCTACTTTTATGTATGTTTTCATGTTTCTGCATTACAACCACATTCAACATAAATACATATTTTATGTTTAACGTTGTTATTTTATAGATACAAGTATTTAAGCAAATGCTCTGTTTATGATAAACAGTATTAAATAACATTTACCGGCCTGAATGTCCGAGAAATTTTCATAGAAAATATTCGTTCTTTGGTAAATGTTATTTAATACTGTTTATCATAAAACAGAGCATTTGCTTAAATACTTGTATCTATAAAATAACAACGTTAAACATAAAATATGTCTTTAATAAATAAATTGTCGGACCTTGTCCATTTCTTAATATAAATATATATCTGTAAGATTCAAAACTGAATACCAGGCATCTTTCCCTTCCTTTTTATTCAATATTCATATAAGTATCTCATGAGTTTGTAAATATCATTCCTACAATACTAGGAAATAAATTAATATAAAAAAATAAGTTTGGAATGTTTTTATTTTTTGAAAATCACTTCTATATTCAAGAAGTTAATGAAAAAATTACTTATGTAACTCAACAATTCTAAGCAGGCAAAGTAAACTTCAAAAGTCATAATACAAGCTGTTGCATTTTGGAAACAATACCAAATAAAAAAACTGAGTTTTAACATTTTATAGAACAAACTTGTTAATGAAATTCCCAAAATATAAGAGGAATGAATAGCACAAATTTACATACACATATTTTTTAGAAGTATCTTCTTGCTAAAAGTAGAATCAAATTAATTTGAAATGTTTCTGTTAAGCAGCCACTAATAATTAAATAAAAGTTCCTATATTTTAAAATCAGACATAAATTGTCTTTTTTTTTTTTTTATTTGATTATGATGACTACAAAGGTGAACTGGAGACTCATGGTTTAATCTTTGATGCTAAATTTAAATAGTTTAAGAATTAAAATGATAAAAATATCTCTAAGAATTAAAGTAAGCAACATATTTTAATTAACGACAACACTAATCCAACAGGAGCCAATAGCAGAGACATTATAAGTACCTTATAAAAGCCAACATGATCAAGGAAGTAGCCAACATCTAATCTATTCATCCACCATTAATGACTATTATTGAAAGAGCATGTTTAAATTTACTCCAGATTAATAGTTAACTTTTGGTCAGTTACCAAAAAG